AAGAATATATCACAAATGGGATGGCTTAAACAAACAGGAGTTTATTCTTACAATTTGGAGGCTTTAAGTCCAAGTTCAAAGTGCCAGGTCTAGGGGCTGGATGAAAGCCCCTCAACCTTGGGGTCCAGCTCTGCCTTCTGCTCCTGGCCCACTGGAGCTAGAGGCATTTCTTCACTCAGACAGCTGTAAGCTGCTGAGGCTGAGAAGCCCAAAGGTTGACAAGTAAAAAGGTGAAGTCCCGATGTTACCAAACCACATGGCAGGCCATTAACTTAAGTCCATTTTATGTCCCAAGGTTGGCAGAGCATAGCAGGCTGCTGAGCAACGACACGGCTACATGCAAGACCCAAGCGAGCCATAGACTAGAGACCATTCCCAAGGCTTCTCCTTATATACAGGAAGCAGACCACATCCCAAAGGCAGCTACTCAGCTGCTGTGATAGATCCCACCATGGAGATGATTACCAGTCTCATCATGGGGAATAACTATCACCAGCTGCCCAGCCACTCAACCAGGCCCAGCCAAGTTGGCACACAAACGTAACTACCAAATCTAGGAATACGTAAGTTCTCAAAAATGAAATAAATACATAAATGAAACACATAAATATAAATGTCCTAGGCATTGTTGAGATGAAATGGACTGGTATTGGCCATTTGGAATCAGACAATCATATGTTCTACTATGCTGGGAATGACAATTGAAGAGGAATGGTATCACATTAATCATCAAAAAGAACATTTCAAGATCTGTCCTGAAGTACAATGCCATCAACGATAGAACAATACCCATAGGCATACAAGGATGACCAGTCAATACAATTATCATTCAAATTTATGCACCAACCACTAAAGCCAAAGATGAAGAGACTTAAAAATTTTACTAACTTCTGCAGTCTAAAGTTGACCAAGCATGCAATCAAGATGTATTGGTTATTACTGGTGATTGGAATGTGAAAAGTTGGAAACAAAAAATCATTAGTATTTGGAAAATATGGCCTTGGTGATAGAAAAGATGCTGTAGAGCACATGACAGAATTTTGCAAGGCCAGTAACTTATTCATTATAAATATCTTTGTTCATCAACATAAATAGCAGCTATCCA